GAACTATGATTTTTTTTTACTTATTTATAGCATCTCTTCTTGAATCATTTGCAAAATATACTGTACTTTTGTACATTTTAAGAGCTGATTCTACAATATTACAAATGAAATGCTATTGCTATCCCAGAATGTATTATATAATGGTATAAAATACAAATACAAATACTGGTATGAAGTATTTTGAAATTGATATAGGACGAGACATTATTGGATTGGCTGAAACTGGGTCAGGGAAAACTGGTGCATTTGCCATACCAGTGTTACAAGCCTTGCTGAAAACTCCACAGAGATTTTTTGCACTTGTTCTTACTCCTACAAGAGAATTAGCCTTTCAGATAGCCGAACAATTTGAAGCACTGGGTTCATCCATTGGTGTAAAAACAGGTATGTTTCTATAATGTTTGTGCATTTTATGCTACGTCTAAAATATATTATAAAATTTCTTTTTTGTAATGTAAATGTTGCATATATGTTTTTTTATAGCTGTTATTGTTGGTGGAATGGACATGATGACTCAGAGTCTGGCATTGTCAAAGAAACCCCATATAATAATAGGTAAAATATATTTTTCATCTGTTTTTAACCCAGAATTTGAATTTTTAGTACAGTACAAAGTCCGTAATCTGGACGTCCATTATCCGAAATGATCTATAATCCGGACCTCAAAGCCACAAACTTACGCATGCACGTAAAGGCAGTAAAGCGTTTACACATGCACGCTTCCGATAGTGAAGAAAGTAACAGAGAGTTTATTGAAAACGAAAAAATTTCGATTGACAAGTTAGTCGGTATTCTTGACACAGCAATTACAGGATTTGAACAGTGGAACTTTGTAACTGAACAAGAAATTATGTCTGTTTATAGAAGAGAGAATTAAAGAGAAAGTATTAGCACAAAAAACGAAGCAACTTAACTTACATTGAAAGAAATGTTTAATAAAGTAAACAAATGAATATTAAGCTTTTTTTTTATAAATTTTGATACCCTTTAGATCGTAATTGCTCTTAATTTCATAAATTACGGTTTCATATTTTTTATTGTATAATTTCTGCATGCCATCTTACCAGATTTAAAATGATGATCTATAATCCGGAAAAAATCCCTAATCCGAAGTCGCTGAAGTCCTGACGAGTCCTGATTATTTACTTTGTACTGTATTTCAAATTGCAACATGTTTTTCATTTATATTTCCATAATAAAATTTTGATAAAAACTCGTTTGAAATTTGGTTAACTCTTTGACTGGTACAGGATTTTGCTAAAAAAGCCCGAATTTTCCAAAACTGCCATGAGAAAGAGGCATTTTCGTTATTTTAATGCCAAAATACACTACTTTATAACTGAATTTATGTACTTCTTATATATTGCCTTAATATTTTGGACATGTTTTAAAAAGCCTGTATTTATACTTTCATAATGGCCTTGCTGATCAGAGGGTTAAAGTTTATTTGATTTTATAGGAGATCTCATTAATTTATCATACGGATTGCTATTAATCTATATCATAGTTTACATGATATTCAAAACCCACCAAGACATCTTGAATATCTTTAGGGGGCTCTTGATATGAGCCATCTAAATAAGAACTTAACATGGCTTAAGTTATGAAAAAAAGTCTGGTCCATTGCATAAATTTATTTAGCTTAGCTAAATTCTGAATTTTTGGTTAAAGAACAATTAGTTTTATATCAGAGTTAATTTTCATTTTTATTCTTTTTGCAGAGCTATCCTGCACTTTAATACTTTCCACAGAGTTAACCTACATTTTTATTCTTTCCAAAAATAACTGCGGCTTCTCTCTGTGTATGACTGCACAAAAGAGATATGTAGCCTGAAATTTAAAGATATGTATATACGAAGAGATCCATAGGTTTTATTCACATGTCTCAGATTGTAAATGATTTTAATTCTATGATTAAAATGTCTAGTTTAAATTTGATTTAACTGACTAATTTTATAATATTTTGTGTATGTTCAAAATTCAGCATGACAGCTAATTTAATATCCATATACATTGCTGGCTCTTAAAATTGCTACACTACAAAGGCAGCATGCGACAAAGAAGTCTGCAGATTCTGCTCTGAAATAAGTTTGAAAATCCTTATTACATATTGTTATGAATGATAACTTATACAAGTATTAAATAATAGCAAGAATAGGATTCTTATTAACATGAAAGATTAAGTTAGTGTTCATACAATATAGAGCCAGCTCATTGTAGTTTTTTTAAAAAACAGTGCTTTAATTCTTTATGAATATGCTTTAATTCTTTATAGCTACTCCTGGACGACTAGTAGATCACCTGGAAAATACAAAAGGTTTTAGTCTCAGGGCTTTGAAATTCTTGGTAAGTGTTAATCTTTCTTCTAAAAAATGTTTATAGTATTTATTAATCATGTTTGAGTATTACGGTACAAAGTCTTTAATCCGGACCTCCATAATCTGGAATGATCTATAATCCGGATCTCAAAGCTACAAGCTTAATGCCTTATGCATTTACACATGCACATATGCGTTTACGCAGGCGCATAATACCTTTACGCATGTGCGTTTAATGTATAGCGGATGGTTTAAGCTAGGCTAAAATTATCTAATTATCTTAAAATTGGATCTGGCTTATTATTTTTTGCAGACTGTTACAGCAATTTTATGAAAAGTAAGCTTGAACTTTTGATTATGTCAAAAAGAGTTTACAATTTTGGAGCTGCCAAAGGATCTACAAAGCGAAAGCATGTTTTGATGTCCATCAAACAAAAAGTGGAATTGCTGCAAAAAGTATATAAAGGCATATCCTTTGTTTCTCTAACCATTCCGAAATCTGTTTATCAATTTCATGCTGCTCTGCAGGGGGGGGCGTCTTCAGGGCAGATATTTTTATTTTATTCAGCTTATAATTAGCCTGGTGTTCAACATGGCATTTCTGTGGTATTATCCACAAAGAGTATCTGAAAAAAGTCAAATCCTTGACAGTAAGGTGTACAGTGAGATGCTAATCTGTGTTTATGCTGCTATTAAGGAAAACTGAATTCAGAAGCAAAAAGGTAATGTTCCATTTAGATAATGCATGTGTCTGCATTCACTGGCTGTACTTGATACCGGACTCGAATGGGATTTTTTGCCACATAGCCCCAACATCCTCCTCCTCATCACCATATAGCCCCAACATCGCTCCTTCGGATTTCTACCTTTTTTCACACCTGCAGCTGCATCTTTCATTGTGCACAGAACATTGGAAATGAGGTTGATCTGTTTTTGGACTCGCGACTACCAAGTTTCTGGGCCAAAGGCTTTAAAAAACTACCAAAATGTAGGCAGAAGATCATAAATTTTGATAGTGATTACTATCCGCACTAAAGGTACTGCATTTTTTTTATTATTATTTTATTTTATTAAGAATGTTTTTTGGCAGGAAATTTTCATTACAACCAGATATTTTATGCATGTACTCAACTGTCAGGAACTTAAAATTCACAGAGCACTAATGTTCACTTATAAATATGCTTTAAATACAGGTTGTCAATATATCATCAAATGAATATACAGTCAAAAGTCGTTAATCCGGACACCCATAATCCGAAACGATCTATAATACGGACCTCAAAGCTATAAACTTTCTGTGCATGCGCATATGAGTGTACGCATGCGCATAATATGTTTACGCATGCGCGTTTAATGTATAACGGACAGTATAAGCTAAGCTAAAACTATCTAATTATCTATTTCAGTTAATGTTGCAAATTGCGCTGTTCCTTAATCTTCAAATTGGAACCGGCTTATTATTTTTTGCAGACTGTTAGAGCAATTTTATAAAAGTAAGTTGGAACTTTCGATTATGTCAAATAGAATTTCCGATGCTGGATCTACAAAGGGAAAGCATGTTTCGATGTCTATGAAACAAAAAGTGGAATTGCTGCAAAAAATGGATAAACACTCCTTTGTTTCTCTAACCATTCCGAAATCTTTTCTTACTAAAATTCTTACTAAATGTATTATTTCATCTCGATGTACTCCATCTTGATATAATTTAAATCAAATTCCTCGTCATTATAAATATCACGGTTGCAATTTTCTAATTTCAACTATGCGTAATGTATGCTTTACGCATGCGCGCGTTAAAAGAAATGTTTAATAAAGTAAACAAATAAATATTAAGCTTTTTTTTTTTTTTTTTTTTTTTTTTTTTTTTTTTTTTTGTAAATTTTGATACCCTTTAGATCATAATTGCTCTTTATTTCATAAATTATGGTTTCATATTTTTAATTTTATAATTTCTGCATGCCATCTTACCAGATTTAAGTTCATGATCCTTAATCCAGAATCGCCGAAGTCCTGATGAATCCGGATTAAAGACTTTGTACTGTATTTAGTTTCCTGTCTTTTTTTTCCAGATATATTTATTTTTCATATGCCTAAGTAAAATATCAGAATTTCATTTCTGAAGTTTTAAACTAAAAATGGAAAATATTTGAAAGTTGTTTTATAAGTTACAAGATTTTAAGTATGTATGTATATGTACTTTATATGTTTAAACTGATTTTCAGAAGTTTGCAAATGGAGTGAAATAAATGCATTCACATTAGTGAGCTTGCACTGAAGTCCATAAATCAAAGAAAATATTTCCTTGGTTTTTGAATCCTTGAGAAACCTAATCTAAAAGGATGAACATGTAAAGGCAAACTGGAAAAGTGAAGAAGGATAGGTTTGCTGAGGCAAAAGAAATAAGAAAAAAGTTGGCTGAAATGCTCAAATATCTGCTTAGAAATGTTTAAAGAGATATGCGTTACTTAGAATGCAACAAAGTTAACAAGTTAACAAGTCTGCATACTTTTGTGAATTTTTCATAATTTTTTCCAAATCCTTACAGTTGTATGACTTTGTGTTTACAAATTTTGCATCTTTGTTCTTTTTTCCTTCTCTCTTTTTTTACTTTGTGTGTGTGCTTAAAGATGCCAAGCAATTGCAGTCAAAAGTCTTTAATTCGGACTCGTCGGGACTTCGGCAATTCCGGATTATAGATCATAAATTTAAATCTGGTAAGATTGCATGCAGAAATTATAAAATTAAAAATGTGAAACCGTAATTTATGAAATAAAGAGCAATTATTATCTAAAGGGTATCAAAATTTACAAAAAAAAAAGCTTAATATTTATTTGTTTACTTTATTAACATTTCTTTCAACGCGCGCATGCGTAAAGCATATATTACGCATAGTCGAAATTAGAAAATTGCAACCAGAAAACTGTTTAATTTGTATTCGTGATATTTATAATGACGAGGAATTTGATTTAAATCATATCAAAGATGGAGTACATCGAGATGAAATACAACATTATAAGCCAAATAAAATAAAAACGTCTGCCCTGAAGATAAGGATAGTGCTGACAGATCAACTTCCAGTTCATTGCGTTCCGCGACATCGATAAACAGATTATTAGATTACATTGATAAACAGTGAAATTGATAAACAGATTTCGGAATGGTTAGAGAAACAAAGGAGTGTTTATCCATTTTTTGCAGCAATTCCACTTTTTGTTTCATAGACATCGAAACATGCTTTCCCTTTGTAGATCCAGCATCGGAAATTCTATTTGACATAATCGAAAGTTCCAACTTACTTTTATAAAATTGCTCTAACAGTCTGCAAAAAATAATAAGCCGGTTCCAATTTGAAGATTAAGGAACAGCGCAATTTGCAACATTAACTGAAATAGATAATTAGATAGTTTTAGCTTAGCTTATACTGTCCGTTATACATTAAACGCGCATGCGTAAACGTATTATGCGCATGCGTACACTCATATGCGCATGCACAGAAAGTTTATAGCTTTGAGGTCCGTATTATAGATCGTTTCGGATTATGGGTGTCCGGATTAACGACTTTTGACTGTATATTCATTTGATGATATATTGACAACCTGTATTTAAAGCATATTTATAAGTGAACATTAGTGCTCTGTTTGAATTTTAAGTTCCTGACAGTTGAGTACATGCATAAAATATCTGGTTGTAATGAAAATTTCCTGCCAAAAAACATTCTTAATAAAATAAAATAATAATAAAAAAAATGCAGTACCTTTAGTGCGGATAGTAATCACTATCAAAATTTATGATCTTCTGCCTACATTTTGGTAGTTTTTTAAAGCCTTTGGCCCAGAAACTTGGTAGTCGCGAGTCCAAAAACAGATCAACCTCATTTCCAATGTTCTGTGCACAATGAAAGATGCAGCTGCAGGTGTGAAAAAAGGTAGAAATCCGAAGGAGCGATGTTGGGGCTATATGGTGATGAGGAGGAGGATGTTGGGGCTATGTGGCAAAAAATCCCATTCGAGTCCGTATCAAGTACAGCCAGTGAATGCAGACACATGCATTATCTAAATGGAACATTACCTTTTTGCTTCTGAATTCAGTTTCCTTAATAGCAGCATAAACACAGATTAGCATCTCACTGTACACCTTACTGTCAAGGATTTGAAGGATTTGACTTTTTTCAGATACTCTTTGTGGATAATACCACAGAAATGCCATGTTGAACACCAGGCTAGTTATTAAAAAAAATATGCTGAACAGTTGTTATGGACTATGCTTTGTGAAGCCTAGAACATATGACAATTTCTGTTACGCAGTCACCATCTTGACAAACACTGAAATGGCAAACAATGAAAGAGTGTTTGGCGCTACCCCACCACTACTGAACTGCATGAAACTTGAGATTTCCTTTTTTCTATCTATACATTATTTGATCAAAACAGATTAAAAGCTGAATAGTTATGATTTTTAAAATTGTATGCTTCTTTTTGAAACGCTCTTTATTATGAAAATGTATAAGCCCAATCTTCTTAGAGAGTATGTCCATGAAAAGGCATCCTTTTTGTAAAGGCAGTTATTTTATGCTTAACTGAATTTTAAAAAAAAAAAAAAAAAATCTCAAATTAAAGTTTTGTTGTGTGAAAATTAGTTGTGATTTGAAGCTGTTTCTCCATCTTTGTTTAAATGAATGCATTAAAATATGTACTTTATGCAGATCATGGATGAAGCTGACAGAATATTAGATATGGATTTTGAGCAAGAAGTTGATAAAATACTGAAAGCAATACCAAGAGAAAGGAACACATACTTATATTCAGCTACAATGACTCAGAAAGTATGTTTTGTTATTAATTCAATTGGTTACTGTTAAAAAGTGCATTATAATTTTTATATAGTTAAATTCATTTTTCAGTATTTTTATTTTAGGTTCAAAAATTGCAAAGGGCATCACTTACAGATCCTGTTAAAGTTGAAGTTTCAAGGAAATATCAAACAGTTGAAAAATTACAACAATATTATTTATTCATTCCTTTAAAGCATAAAGTAAGTAATAAATAATCTTGCTGTTTTTCTTTATTTAAATAAAACTTTTGCATAAAAATGTATATATATATATATGTCAGGAGCAGGATTGTAATATATTCAAACTCAGAATCAGTTACCAGGAAAATTGGAGGCGAAGGCAGATTAAATCTGCAGTTTTATTTTCAGCAACACGTTGCGGTTACACACAAGTTGGCACATTAAATGTGCCTGTTCCAAAAGGTTTACATTTTTTATAACTTTGTACCTTTGTAACTTTCATTAAAATAGTTTATAAATTGGCAGTTTGTAAAAATGGCACTGTATCTGCATTGCATAAACAGTAAATAAAATACTACTATTATGCATTTAAACTCTTTAATTTTTCAAATATTAATATAAGTTTAAAAAGAAGACTTATTATTTCCATCAAATTATTCATTTATTTTGTTCAGACATCTTCAAAATTGCTTTTGATTATTAGATGGTAAAACTGAAAATGTGAAAATTAGTAAACCATTGCTTTATATTGGTAGATACTATAAAGAGATTTTACAAGTAATTGATATTAAAAAAAAAGAGTGATGTGTACTTTATTAAAAAATGTATACTTTATTAATTTTAAAATTACAGACTTCTGATAATTGTAAAAGTGTTCTTATGAATTATAAAATATATGTTTTTAAATTAAATGCTTTATGTAACATAATATTCTTTCCTATTTAGGATGTGTATTTGGTACATGTGTTAAATGAATTACCAGGTGATTCTATCATGGTATTTTGTGCTACCTGCGCAAATACTCAACGAACTGCTTTTCTGCTAAGAAACCTTGGCTTTACTGCCATTCCTTTACATGGCAAGCTGAGTCAGGTAATATTACAGATTCGCATTATCTTATAATATTTGATTGGAGGAATGAAAATTTGTGTTCAAAATCTTTTTTTGCTCAAATCAAGCTTAAATCTGTACTACTAAAATTTGTGCAACATCTATACAGTCAAAAGTCGTTAATTCGGGCACCCATAATTTGAAATGATCTAAAATCCGGACCTCAAAGCTACAAACTTTCTGTGCATGCGTTGCGTTGACGCATCCGCATAGGTGTTTATCCATGTGCGTAAGAATGTGCATAATACGTTTATGCATGCGCGTTTAATGTATAACGGATGGTATGAGCTAAAATTATCTAATTATCTATTTCAGTTAATGTTGCAGATTGCGTTGTACCGTAATCTTCGAATTGGATCCGGCTTTTTATTTTTTGCAGACTGTTAGAGCAATTTTATAAAAGTAAGCTTGAACTTTCGATTATGTCAAATAGAATTTTCAATGCTGGATCTACAAAGGGAAAGCATGTTTCGATGTCTATGAAACAAAAAGTGGAATTGCAAAAAATGGATTGTTTTTCTAACCATTCCGAAATCTGTTTATCAATTTCACGCTGTTCTGCGCAGGGGGGGGATGCCACGGAGCGCAATGAATTGGAAGTTGATCTGTCAGCACTATCCTTATCTTTAGAGCAGATGTTTTTATTTTATTTGGCTTATAATTCCTTACTAATTGTAGTAATTCATCTCGATGTACTTTGTCTTTTATATGATTTAAATCAAATTCCCGTCATTATAATTCGCTTCCGATAGTGAAGAAAGTGACACAGAGGTTATCGAAAACGAAAAAATTTCGATTGACAAATTAGTCGGTATTCTCGATACAGCAATTATAGGACTTGAACAGCGGGACTTTGTAACTGAACAAGAAATTATGTCTGTTTATAGAATTAAAGAGAAAGTATTAACACATAAAATGAAGCAACAACTTACATTGAAAGAAATGTTTAATAAAGCAAACAAATAAATATTAAGCCTTTTTTTTTTTTTTTGTAAATTTTGATACTCTTTAGATCATAATCGTTCTTTGTTTCATAAATTACGGTTTCATATTTTTAATTTTATAATTTCTGCATGCCATCTTACCAGATTTAAACTGATGATCTATAATCCGGAAAAATCGTTAATCTGGAATCACCGAAGTCCCGACGAGTCCTGATTAACGACTTTTGACTGTACTACTAAAATCAACACTATACTACTAAAATCTGTGCAATCTGTAAATCAACATCTATACTGCTAAAATCTGTGCATGTCTGTATGTTTGTTTGTGGCATTATTGGGATGGCGGGGAGTTGAACTTTGAGAGAGGTACCCTCGTATGCCAAAAATTCATGGGAAGCCATTTTGACTCATCTCATCTTCGTACGACTTTAATTAGCCAAAACAGTAATTAAAAACTCTAAAAATGCTAAGTTTCACCCTAATTTTTCCGAGTGGCAACAGTTTGGCACGCTGGAGATATTACCTGCTTTATTTCAAAAAGTGTTGCAACTGCTCGCTTTCAAATTGTAGAATATAATAATAAAATATGTCTTAGTTTTACAAACTATGAAACAAGAAAAGCATTGCCAAACATTAAATATATTATTCCCGATTCTAAAAATTCTTGGGAAGCCATTTTGACCATTCCCATCAAAAATTGTTGCCACTGCTCACTTTTATGTAGCAGAGTTTGTTAATAAAAAATTTGTAAGTTTTACAAAATATGAAATAATAATACCATTGCCAAACTTTAAACATATTATTATTATATAAGATTATATTCTGCCATTGCAGAAAGCACACGGTTGCATGCTATGTCATTGTATGTCAAAAATTTTTCATTATGTTAGCATTTTAAACAAATAGCTGCTGTTAACAACTTTTGTGTTTCAGTTTAGTATAACTGACATGATATATTAATGCCACATTAATTCTTTTATTGATATTGAGAAAATGTTGTTATATTACATTAAATTTAAATCATGACATCGTACGTATTAACCGAAGTGTCAACAGTTTTTTTTTCCTGGTGTGTAAGTAACAAATTTATTTATAAATTGGTTGTTGCTTGGAAAGAATAAACTGATTTCATTCGTACTGAAATGTTTTTATACATTTGCTTTTCAGTGGTACCTAGAACTTCTAAATTTTGCTTTTACTATTGCCCACTGATCTGGCGGGCTTGGCCGCTAGTACTTCAGTATTTTCTAAAGATGTTAAAAATGTGTTCTAATAATAGCGTTAAAACAAAGAATTTTTAAAATGTAATTAGTAATATTAGTTTTAATAAAACTAATTTTAGGCCATCATTGCAGAATGCTTTGTGTGTTTTCTCAACTGGAAATTTTTTTTTTTTTTTTGTTATTTTATGACTGACTGATACATGATTTGTAATTGTAGGCAAAACGTTTAGGTGCACTTCAAAAATTTAAAGCTAAATCAAGATCAATATTAATAGCTACAGATGTAGCTAGCAGGTATAGTAACTCCTTTGTTCTTTTTGTGCTATACAGTTTCGTAGTCTATTATTTCATTGAAATTGAATTTATGTAATTATTCTTTTAGAGGTCTAGATATTCCACATGTAGATGTGGTTATAAACTTTGATATTCCTTCACATTCTAAAGACTACATTCACAGAGTTGGCCGAACAGCTAGAGCTGGACGTGGAGGGAAATCAATCACATTTGTAACACAGTAAGTATGTGTTATAATAAATTTACACTGTTAATAAGGCTTAGTTTTTTGCAGATGAAATATATGTATGGGTAATGATGTAGAAGTTAATATTACAAAAGAATGGTGAACATGATTTATAGAGAGAATGAACTTGGTGTTAGCAGTCATGCTGATTTTAAATTTTCTTTATTCTTGAGGAGCACAATCTTAATATGAATAACACATTGCAATGGGTACAATCTGATAGCTTTTTCTTGATCTCATTTTTATCTTTTCTATATCTTATGACAATACAGTTGATGGAAGAGAGGTAATTAGTGACATGTTGGCAGGGAACCTGACAAGAGCAATAATGTGGTATGTCCGAAATGAAAGTTGGGTTCAGAGTGATTTGAATGAATTTCCCGGTGTGCTATTAAAAACTTTTGGTTTCTAAACTGAAATCTTATTTGATGAAGCATATATACAAGTACTTGCATTGTTATTGTTAGCATTATGAGCATTATGTAAGAATCATATGCTATGGATTGGATTCATTTTGAAATGACAGTTTATAGAAACAGCTATTATAAGCAGTAACTGTTTTTAGGACAGAAAGGAAAAATAGCCAAATTAAAATGAAGCATTAAGGAAGTATTGCAAATTAAAGTTAGTATTTTGATTTAGATGTTTTTTATATTAACACATAAATACATATTGATATATAATTCGTGTCGTTTTATATTTTTAGTATTCTATAAAAGTTATATAATTTTGTAAGTTTTTTTAATTTGCATCAAATGATATTAATGAAAGGTTTTGTTAGAAATTTAAGCATTCAGTATAAAGATGTGTTTTATGTTAAAGTTAATAAAACCTCTCTAAGGCTTAGCACTACAGGTTCAGACAATTTTGACTGTCTTTGGAAGAGGGTGCATTAGAGAACATTATTATTAGTACCATTATTAATACATTGAAGTGGTATTATTATTTTCATTTTCAATAAAATCATGCCTGATATAATTAGGTAATTATTTACCAGTTAGCAATGAATATTTTTATTTATTGATTGCAATGCCTTTGATTCATTTCTTTCAATTACTTTAGATATTATAGAAGTGCTTTGCTTTATACAGCATTGAAGTTAATCATTTAAAATAATTTTAACACATCGTTCAATAAGTCCCGAGGCTAACTAAGAAAACAACATCCATTTCACAAAATTAACATTTATTCATCAACATAATCACCATCAAGAGCTATGCAATCATTCCAACAATTTTCTAACTTTTCTATATCATGCTTGTAAAACAATTTGTCCTCGTCCACAAAATAAGCTTCAGTGGCAGCTATGACTTCCTCATTTGAGCCAAATCTTTCTCCCTGGAGCATCTTTTTCAGATCAGCAAGCAACCAGTAGTCGCTAGGGGTTAGATCTGGGGAGTATGGTGGGTGGGAAAGCAGAGTGAAGCCCAACTTGTTCAATGTAACCAATGTTTGAATTGACTTGTGGCAAGGGGCATTGTCTTGATGGAAGATGATATTTTTCTTCTTCATGTGTGGTCTTTTTTTTTTTGCAATTTCGTTCTTCAGATGCACCAGTAACTCGCTGTAATAGGCACTATTAATAGATTTTCCCGTTTCAAGGTAGTCGATGTAAATTATACCTCGCGCATCCCAAAACACTGATGCCAGCTGACTGTTGCGTTTTTGGACGCTTTGGACAGCCTTCGTCGGCTGCACGCCACTCAGCTGACTGCCTCTTCGATTCTGGAGACAAACAGCTCTGTGAATCATCTAAATGTTATTGCTTTTGTTCCAATTTGAGTACACGTGGCACCCATTTGGAAAACACTTTTTTCATGTTTAACTTTTCATGTAAAATCACACTTACACTTCCAGTTGATATGTTTATGATCTCGGCAATCTCACAAACTTTCACTTTGCGGTCATTCATCATGATTTTCAACACTTGTTTCACATTTTCCGAAGTGACTGCTTCATTTGGCCTACCCGAGCGTGCCGCATCATTTGTATCCGTGTGACTGCGCTTGAAGTCAGCATACCAACAACAAATGGTTGTTTTCGATGGAGCAGAGTCTGGATTTTTCAAGCCATTGCTGAGCTTGGACGGTATTTTTGCCCATTAAATAGCAATGTTTAATCAACACTCGAAATTAATTTTTCTCCATTTTGTCCCCAAATGAACAAGTAGTATCACTTTCACCATAGTAGCTGTGCTGTTTCCGGTCCGAAGGCCATGAAAATCAGACATGTGTCATTTGAAGGTTAATTGTTTCGAACAACGAAGTCAGGTTGATATTACTACACCATCTGCTGGTTAGTCCCGGGACTTATTGAACGATGTGTTATTTGTTCTTTTTTAAATATTTTGTAGCAACTATTTAAATACCATAAGTGAAACAGGTTTGTAACACTCGAATAGGGTGATTTGGGTCATTCTGCTTCGTACACTATCATCTGCGTTACAAATAAAAGACTTTAATGAATTTTTATAGTAATGTATAGTTTGCATCTCTCTTGTAAATTTGTTCAGATTGTAATATACTTTTGGTATTTATTGTTTCATACTGTATTACAATCTGAAGAGAAATGCAGGGACAAAAATTAGAGCTTTTTGAAATTAAAGGTGAGTTTTAATTTTATTTAGCCATAAAGATTAATTTTATTAGTTGTCAACAGCAGTCATTATTTTCTATTAAGAAGAAAAGTATAAGATTTATATAACTTTTTTATATAAAAAATATTTTTCATGTATATTATTATTTTTTCCTTTTAAACTTTTAATTACAATCTCTGTTTCGAGCAAGTGTGCTGTGATCTGAAATTTTCAAATTGCTATTTTAAAACTGTGTTGTCAAAAATGCAACACTTTCAAAGGTGTACACCGTAATTTATTTGTTTGTACAGTAATTAAAATATAATTTTATATCAGAATAATGTAATTATATTCATGTTTTTATTAAATATAATTTTTTTGAATAAAGCAATTCATAGTTTGTATCTAAAAAGTGATCAGATAGAAAAAGTTTTCTCTTCGCAGCATTAGAATGATTTTTCCTTTTCTTTTGTTCAGTTTATAGGACACTTAATTTTATAACATGCAAAATTACTTAAATTGTAATCTTCTTACAGATATGATGTTGAATTATACCAAAAAATTGAAAGTCTGATAGACAAAAAGCTTCCTTTATATCCAACAGTAACAGAGGAAGTAATGGTTCTTTTAGACAGAGTAACAGAAGCACAACTTTTTGCTAACAAGGTTAGTATTTTGGAGGTTCATTTTAAATGTTTAATGAGGTTTTCTTTAGACATGCATATTGTATTTGTTTACTTTGTTTCCATCAATACTGCCAATAAGCTTTTTCATAATTAAGATACAATAACATGTTGAACAAATATTAATTTAGAAGTCAAACAACAAAATCAACATTATATTTTCAAATTTTCACAGGACTAGTTTAGATGGTTTTACCGACCCATCATATCTTCAGCTGCAAAAGCGAAAATGAACGAAATAAGATACAATGATTAGCTAAGATAAAAGTCTGTACAGGAGATAAGCTACTGGTGCCATCTGTTAATGAAACCAGAACTAAAACATAATTTCTTTAAAGGCTGAAAACAAAGATGGATTGGAATTAGGGTCGTTAACTAGAACAGAAAAATTTTTTTGAATGTGAAATGCTTCTAGAAAATGCACTTCACCAATGGAAGATGTTTTTTGAATAATTTTGGCTGCAGAAAACACACTTTAAATTTTTCACACTTTCAATTTTTCTGCTGTAAAAATTATTCAAAAGACATCTTCTTGGTGAACTGGATTTTCCAAAGGCATTTCACATTCAAAAAAATCTTTCTGTTCTAGTTAATGACCCTAATTCCAATCTATCTTTGCCTTCAGCCTTTAAAGAAATTATGGTTTAGTTCTGGTTTCATCACCAGATGGCACCAGTAGCTTATCTCATGTCCAGACTTTCTTATCTTATCTAATCATTATATCTTATCTCGTTCATTTGCGCTTTTGCAGCTGAGGATATGATGGTTCGGTAAAACCATCAAAACTAGTCCTGTGAAAATTTTAAAATATAACACTGATTTTTGTTGTTTGACTTCTAAATTAAGCTTTTTCATATTTCAGAACTTTATTTTACTGTTACAATGTCACCTTAAATTAATTTTCATTCACACTTCTTTTTTTGTTGTTGTTGATGAAATATCTAGTAAAATTTCATATTGTATAATAACTGCCAAACATTTCGAGCACCTTTACGGGAATATGGAAAAGGAAAAACCCATGTTTAAGTCCCAAAGTTGAAAAAGCTTTTGCCTCACCCATATGATCTAAAATAGGGGTCTTCAACCTTTCATGCCAGAGGGCCACATCAATAAATTCATAAAGATCCTTGGGCCACATGTCTGTCAAAAAAATAGTGTAGTCAGAAAATTTATATGAAAAAGGAAGATTTGTTTTGTGAGACTACAGTTGATTCTAAGTGAAGAGATAATGCTACAGATTTATATATACAGTCAAAAGTCGTTAATCCGGACTCGTCGGGACTTCGGCGATTCCAGATTATAGATCATCAATTTAAATCTGATAAGATGGCATGCAGAAATTATAAAATTAAAAATATGAAACAGTAATTTATGAAATAAAGAACAATTATGATCTAAAGGGTATCAAAATTTACAAAAAAAAAAAAAAAAAAGGCTTAATATTTATTTGTTTACTTTATTAAACATTTCTTTCAATGTAAATTGTTTAATTTGTTTCGTTTTTTTATGTGATAATACATTCTCTTTAATTCTATAAACAGACATAATTTCTTGTTCAGTTACAAAGTTCCGCTGTTCAAGTCCTATAATTGCTGTGTCGAGAATACCGACTAATTTGTCAGTCGAAATTTTTTCGTTTTCAATAACCTCTGTCACTTTCTTCGCTTTCGGAAGCGAATTATAATGACAAGGAATTTGATTTAAATCGTATCAAAGACGGAGTACATTGAGATGAAGTACTACATTTGGTAAGGAATTACAAGCCAAATAAAATAAAAACATCTGCCGTGAAGATAAGGATAGTGCTGACAGATCAACTTCCAATTCATTGCGCGCCATGGCGTTAAAGATAAACAAAGTTTAGATAAACGTTAGAGTTTAGATAAACAAAGGATATCCATTATCCATTGTGTCAAAGAAACAAGAATAGCTTTACAATTTCAGTCTGAAACCTGGAAATCATAAATACACTAAAACTAATCAATCAGTTTGAAAGCTTTTGCCTTTGTAGAGGAGAGGAATTTCTTCATTGTGTTTCTCCTTGAGGTTCACATCTAGCCATTAGATTACCGATGTACTGATGGCACATTTTATAAGGTACCTCCATATTAGTGTCTCAATTTCATGGTAAAATAATTTTAAAATAAGATATTCAGAATGGATTAGAGCAGCATTTGTGAAATGCCACTGTCCATTGAGTTCCAAGGAAACAAACAGGGTGTAAAAGCTCTCAAATAATGTACAAATCATTGTTCTAAGACAACACATGTTCCCCATCTGAATTTCTGAACCTTGACCTTTTAACTGATTGAGCCTTTGTCATTCAACCTATCTCAGCAACTACGCTCAGAAAAAAATTCCTTGGTCACTCAGTTATGAAATAGTTTTGATTATACAGCATAATGACCAAGGTTTTAATGAAACCAATGAATAGCTGCCAAATTTTCGACAGAAAAGGGGAAAAACAGTTAATTCAACTGTGTTGGTATAGAATTCGCTTGACTTGACAATGAATTTTTTTTTTCAGTAATTGCTAGTAAAGATACTCGCTAATATATAGTAGAATTTAAATTTCTCCACGTAAAATATGCTGCCACGGTTGATGCCGAAGCTGCTACAAAGACAGTCTGGAGTTGAAACAAATTGGTTTAGACAATTGAGGAAATGGAAAAATTCACATGCGACAACGATTTCAAACAGAAGAGATTTTTGCTGACCGGGCACCTGACATTATCTGGAAATTTCTCTTAATGTGCTAAATTATGTAGCATAATAAAGTATAGAATAATATAATACAACATTGAAGTGTGTAACTTTTGTCCCGCAATTTTTCAGACACGACAAACAATTTTCCGTTCAATTTGAAAAACATTTTGCACTAAGAAATTACTTTAATTTTGATACCCAAGAGAACCATTTCCCTAAATGAGGCTGGGAATTTAGTATAAAAAGACAAATGGAATTTACGTTTTGAATTATGGGTTTGCATACTAAATAATTTGGCACTTTTAATTACTTTTAATTGATTCTATTATTAATACCTGAATATATCACTTACTAATTTTCAATAAACAGTATAAAACTGTACATGATTAAATAATATTTCTTTTTTCCTAATTTTTAAAATTAAAATATATTATTCTAAAAAATAGTTTTGGAGCTTCTGTTTTATTATGTACATATTTTGGAAAAGAACTGAATTTAAATTAGAAACACTTACGTAGTTGGACATTGGAATATTAACAGTCTACAATAAAACAAAATAATTTTTAATGAAATCATATATATTCTAATTTGCTAAAAGTTTCCTCCTCAAATAGTATGTTTGTTATCAATCAGATTTTTAATAATTATGTAAAATTAAAATTTCATTGCGCCTGTAGAGCATAATTTTAACAGTTCCATTGAACTTTCATATTAATCATTTCTATAGCATTAAGCGTTTATTTTTTAATTATTTCTTATATGGAAGAAAGTTCAAAGATATAGCTGTATTTGATAATATATACCAAAACAAATAGTTAAATTTTAAATTGTCTATGAAATAATCAAATAGTTGAAATAGTTTTGTGACATAACATTAATATAAAGATATGACAGAAATAATTATTGTATGAACTTAGTAAAGACACGTAATTTTGCAGTGTAATTTAAAATACAAACAAAATTATGTAAAAATGAAAGTAATGTATTATAATATAAAGAATAAATTTTTTTCCAACAGAAGTTTACACAGTTCCTTCTGCACAACGTGCAGTAGTCTCAGTCTGGAACAACTGTAATATGAAATTTTCCCTCAATGACGAAAGGCATCTTGAAGTCTGGTCACTAATTCCTATACTTTCCTTCCTTTTGTGACACAGATGCACCCCTCTGAGAATCCATTAAACAAGAATTACAAGGATCTTTGTTGTTGATTTCTTAAAGGGGGGAGCATTCAGTTCAAGATACACCGTCCTTTCAAGGCTTTTAGAGTTGCCAAAGCCCCTGCCTCAAAATGTTAATAGTAATATCTTTATATTTTATTCATATATAACACTTTTATATTGCTTACCAACTTTAATATTTTCTTATATATATTGCTGGCAATGCATAAAACCATTTTATAGAATGCCAAATGAAAAACTGGCAAAGTATTAAATACATCTCTCGGGTTCCTTTTGAATATCCATACATTTAATACATTCATTCTGTAATTTCATACTTCATTTTCTTTAACAAGAAAGGTGTAAATTTTATTTTGTACTTTCATTTTTCTTTATGTATTTTTAATAAAAGTGGCACTTTTTCATTCTTTTTTCAAAGTAACATTTGTATTTTTGAAAAATGTATGTTTTTTAAATAATGCTTTATCATGACCTTTTTTCATATTTTGGCTAAATAGCATTTGTATTCTATAGAATGCCTAGGTGTTATATAAATTGCCTATGCAATAATTTTTGTTTTATTCTTTGCCTAAGAATGCCAGGCATTGTATAAAATGCTTAGGTATTTTATAGAATACTGCCATTTAATACATTACCAGAAATATGCATTCAGCTTCATTTATCTACATACAGTAACTTTCTGTAGTAATAAAACTCTGATGCATATTTTGGAAGGCTCATTTCCGTTCTAGCAGAATAACTGCTACGTTACTCAATGAGACTTGCGAAGTTTGATGAAATGAGTGTTCAAAAACTGCATTGGTCTTCTCAGAGCCTCAATCTTAATCCCATGGAACACCTTTGAAGCAAATTAGAATGCAGATTACATAGCCAGAAAAATCGACCATCCTCGCTGCAAGCATTCACTTCAGCTGTGTTGGATGCCGAGAAGTCAATTGCTATGGCCAATTCTCAAAAAATGGTGGAAAATCTCCCCAAATGTATGCAGGCTGTTGTATATGCAAAAGGGGAACCACATCATATTAATATATGCCTCCATCGAGCCATAATCATGAAAACGCGGTAGGAATGTAGTCTGGCAAGAGATATGCAAATG